CAGCCACCATGGTCATTTCAATCACTTGTTAGTCCTCTAAAAGTTGCATGGTAAATAAGGATGACAGAAGAATCCACGCCTTTGATTTGGGCTGTTGGAGAAGAGCACTGACTATTCCACGAACAGGCAAAAGCACAAATATGTCTTGGAGAAGGTGCATCCTGAGGGCTCCTTAGAGGCGAAGGTGGTGCAGTTTCATCTCACATGCTTTGGCCCTGTCATTAGGAGGGGATATGCCTTGGGAAAAGACATCGTGCTTGGAAAGGTGGAGGGTCAATGACAGAGAAGCCCCTGAGTGACTGCAGCAGAGGGTTCAGGTGGATCAGAGATGGTGAGGACGTCACAGCGTGGGTGGGACTCTCGCCTGTTGCTCACTGGGCCCCTGGGAGTCGCAGTTGACACAATGGCCCCTAACAACACGGAAGCCCACTCACTCGCTCACCCCTGCACTGTCCCTTCTGCACTGTTGGGGCTGGTGCATTTGTATATTTGCTGCCAGGTCCTCCTTGGCTAATGTGTTCCTCAGCCGTGGCCACAGGGCCAGGCCTGGGCCCGAGTGAGGACAGTGGCTCAGAGTCCCCGGTCATCTCTTCTGTGTAAACCTCACTCACAGCACACTGTCTGGAATTTTCTCTTTCTCTGAAGAGACTTGATGACCAGCTTCTGGAAGTGCCTCCTGGTCTCAGCCGTGGACGTCCTTCGCTTTGCCATCCTCACTGTCCCCCACGTTCCTCTTTCTCCAGGCTCAGAACGTGGTCTTTCCAAGGATAGCATTCCTTCAGATTTATGGTGCAGGGAATTAACTTTAAACTGAATGCAGTAACAGATGCAGGTGTCAGGCATGGATCTGGGTCACCGTTGACACTGGCCTTCAACTCCACTGAGGTGGGGGCGGGGGTGCTGAGGACGGGGCGGGGGCTGAGCTGGGCCCCCTCCAGCCTCCCCACCACCCCCGCCCGCCCTCGTGCAGCGGTCAGCATTTGAGGGAGCCGAGTTAGTCAAACATCATCCATGCTGAGTTTTTGCAAAGTCAGGGACCACGTTACAGTAGTTTCTCATTTGGGCAAACAGGAGCAAACAAGAGTCTAGGCAGAGTCCGAGGGTAAAAAAAATGTGACCTGAGACAGTTCTGTGACCAGAGGCAGCATTTCTAGAGCACAGCAAAGGCTTCTGGGATGGGCAAGGGCAGGGGTACTCTGCAGACGACAACGTCCCCACCTCTCTGGGTCTCTGCTTCCCTCCCCATAAATGTCTGTGGGCTCCAGTAAGGAGGATGTGAGTGAGACTTAAACATTGAGAGTGTGTGCCTGTGGGGAGCTCTGAGTGCCCCCCACACCTCCCTCCATCACCCCCTCCCTCCTCAGCAGGACACCCCTGGGCCCTGGGAGGCAGGGGGCAGAGGAGTGGACAGACAGTGGAGGAGATGAAGGACTGTCCCAGGATCAGGCCAGCATGCGCTCAGGACACCCCTCCAGGACTGCTTGCCCCGGGGTAGCTGGGCTGCCCCCCCCCACCGATAGATCTTCCTGCTGGACATCTCCATGAGGCTGCCGTTGGCACATGGCTCCTCCGGCTCACCTTGTCCCAGTCCCTGTCCTCTCAGCGGCCATAAGCTGCTGGCAGGTCAGGCCCCATGTGTGATGACCCCATCCACGGACAGCAGGACAGTGTGGGTCAGACCATCATGGCCCGTGGGTTTTCATGGGTGGGCTTTCCGAAGTCCATTCAGGAAGACGTCACGCCCTAGTGCATCTTAGTCTGCATGGACCCCTGAAACCTGTGAGCGAGGTGCCTCTGCAGAAACCGAACCAGGGTCTCCCGCATGACCCTTCCTGGCAAGTTAGGGGATTTCTGCCCACCGACCCCCGCAGCAGAAAGGCCTCCCTCTGGGGAGAAGAGCTCTGCCTCTACCTTTTCCTGCAATGTCAGAGCCAGGACCTGGGGTCTGCTGCACCATGCAGGGCCTTCTCCCGCCCCCCCTGGGGGTGAGGCAATAGACTTCGTAGGACACGTTTGTCCTCACCCAGGGATGCCACAAGCTGACTGGCAGCTCAGAAAGCCAGGAAGCACCTGGTGGGTGTCCATTCTAGGCGCTAAATGATGTAAATGTTGACAGCAGTTTAATTCTGTGCTAATCTGAGTTCTGGTGCAGCACACCGACATGAGACCGTTCCCAGGGGTGTCACCCCGACTGGCACCTGGTCACTGGTGCAATTCAGACACGTGAAGGGCGAAATCTACTAAAGCATGTATTCCACCTAACAGCGAAGAAATGAAACCATCACGGTGCACTGTGCCAATCATGAGATAGAATGACTTCCTTTTGATATTTATTTTTTCACTCTTCCTTATCATAACCCTCTAGAAGACCCCAACCAGAACAGCTGTGCGTGGGTTCTTTTCCCCAAAACAATGTTGGAGCTGGCCAAGTATCTGGTCCCTCTCAAAGGTCCCGGAAATAGCATGAACCCCATGTGCTAGCACCAGAGTCCGGCCTTATCTGGCCCCATCACCCCCTGTGCCTACCATCCGCAGTCCATGAAATAGGATACACAGACTTCCCTTCCTCCTAGGTGCAAGCGCAGGGTCCGCCAGGTGCCAGAGAGGCGGTCTGGCTCAGGTACAGGCCAGCCCCCAGACACTGCCAGGCTCTTCTGAGCCATCACAACAAAGTCACCTGATTGTTTGGTCTCCCAGTGCACGGATGAGCTGTGGTGTTGTCGTTATGCGCCGTCTAGTCGACCACAACTCATAGCTATACGCAGTAGGTCTGAGTCACGCTCTACCCCGAGCCAGTCTCACCGTCTCTAACACACTTGCCCTTACTACTCCAGTTACTGTGTCAATCCATCTCATCTGGGGTCTTCCTCTCCTCCACTGTCCCTTGACCCTTCCAAGCATGATGTCCTTCTGCAAGGACTAGTCCCTCCTGGCAATATGCCCAAAGTATGTGAGACAGAGCTTCAAAATCCTTGCTTCCAGGGAGCAGTTTGGTTTCAACCTCTCCATGACAGACTTGTTAATCCTCTTGGCAGTCTGTGGTATGTTCAATACTTTTCTCCAGCACCACAACTCAAAGGCATCATGATACAAAGCAAATGATCAGAAAGACCATGGTCTGAGTTAGATGCACCTTAGTCCTCAAACTGGCATCATTACTCCTCAATGATTTGGAGAGGTCCCTAACTGCAGACTTGCCCAGGGTGTCTCCTGATTTCCTGACTGTGTTGTGCTGTACTGCAGTCTGTAAGGGAGGGCTGCTGGCCCTGTAGCTAGAAAGCTGTGTTACCAACCTAAAGACGGGCACTTTCAGCTCACCAGCTGCTCTGAGGAGAGAGATGGGTGATCTCCTGCTTGATTTCCCGCCTCTGAAAAGCTGCTGACTTTGCTGTGATTTGTTCTGACTCACCGACAATGAGCAGGGTTGCTGAGTAGTCTGTTAAGCATGGAGCAGCAGCAGCAGGAAAAGATTTGAAAGAACATGTGAGTCCACGTGATGGAGACAGGAAGTGAGCACACGCTGTTGGGGAAAAGGCACCAGTAGACGTGCTCTGCCAACGATCGCCGTGAACCTTAGGTTCCTAGAACTCCAGGAGTCGGTGAAGGAGAGCTGCAGTTCTCGGGTGGAGTCCTAGCCAAAGGCTAAGGGTCTCCCACCGTTCAAATCCACCAGCGGCTCCAAGCGGGAAAGGGCAGCCTCTTCCTGGGAGGGCCGGCCAGCAGGCTGTGCGGTTGGGTGTTCCGTACAGGCCAGAAAGCACAGCAGGATGGGGCACCCATGGACCTGGGCTCCATGGGGTTCCAGTAATCAACCTTTCAAGAGAAGACAGGGTGCCGTGGATCTGGGCTCCATGGGGTTCCAGTAGTCGGCTTCCCAGGAGAAGATGGGGTGCCGTGGACCTGAGCTCCATGGGGTTCCAGTAGTCAGCCTTTCCAGAGAAGACGGGGTCCCGTGGACCTGGACTCCATGGGGTTCCAGTAATCAGCCTTTCAGGAGAAGATGGGGTGTCGTGGACCTGGACTCCAAGGTGCTCCAGTAGTCAGCCTTTCAAGAGAAGACAGGGTGCCGTGGACCTGGGCTCCATGGGGTTCCAGTAGTCGGCTTCCCAGGAGAAGATGGGGTGCCGTGGACCTGGGCTCCATGGGGCTCCAGTAGTCAGCTTTCTAGGAAATGGCCAGGAATGTCAGTTGCTTCATATCCGTGTGAAGTCCAACAGTGAATTAGGAAAACCAAAGAAGTGATGTCGTTGAGCTGTGGGGTTGGTGAGGGATGCTGAACCCACCGAGGATGCCAGAGGAGCCAGCCAGGCTGTCCCGGCAGAAGCACAGCCCCTTCCTGGAGGTTTGGTGCTCTGTGGAGGCCAGACGGTGGCACTGTACTGCCACATACTTGGCCATGTTGTTGGGGGTCCCTAGTCCCTGGGAAGGGGGGTCAGCGAAGGAGAGGAAGATCCTCAACGACAGGCCTTGATACAGTGACAGCGGCGCTGGGCTGGGACCCAGCAGAGACTGGAGGGGGCGCAGACCAGGCAGGATCTGGCTCTGAAGGACGTGGGGTCGCTGTGACTGGGAGGCGACATGATGGTCCCTGAAATAGTAACACAACATCAGGCCTTTCTTACAGGCAACCATTGGACTTGAACAGCTAACCTTTCAGTTAGCAGCGGATTGCTTTAACTGGTTGCACCACTCAAGACTTCACTGGGGCAGGGAAGGGCGCACTGTGCGAGCCATGCTTGTGAACAGCCCTCTCCCTGGAAACTGTAGAGAGGAAGGGCCAGGGGCCAGGTGTTTGAGTTTGTGAGGTTGGCTTTGGAGCCTGGTGGTGCCGGGGACCAGGTGTTTGAGTTTATGAGGCTGACTTCTGGAGTCCGGTGAGGCCGGGGGCCAGGTCTTTGGGTTTCTGAGGTTGGCTTCTGGAGCCCGGTGGGCCCGGGGACCAAGACCAGCAGGAGGCAGAGCTGGCCCACCTGCCTCACGCCACCTCCCCTGCTTCTCAGAAAGAAACGGGAGCGGAGACGTCTTCCTTTTACTCGGCTTTACTGCGGATTCAGCCCCAAATCCTGCACTGCTGGCGGCCGATGCGGAGAACCTTCAAAACCTACGACCAGGGCGGGACGGGGCTCCTGAGTGTGGACGACTTCCGGACGGTGAGCTCACCTGTGTACCTGCGGCCTGGCCGGGGCAGCCAGCTCCAGAAGACACCCCAGGTCCTTCCCCACCCAGAGGCCTCCCTTCTCAGGACCCCAAGTCACCAAGGTCTGTGTCCCCACTAGCCACCCATTCAGGTTTCCCAGAAGTTTCTAGAACCCGAGAGAGCCTATCTCTATGGCCCGCCTCAACTGACCAGGCTGGGCCCCAGATGTGGTCTGTGTTGTCTAGTCAGGGGGACAAGGCCACCAACGCTTCCCAGGACCTACAGAAAACTCAGAGCAGACCCTCAGAGCCGAGTCCTACTGCCCAGGCCCACCCACTCACCTCTGCTCTCCCCACAACATGAGTACCCCTAGCTTCTCTCCTGCCCCCCCAGAGCCAGCACCCAAAACACTCATTCTGGGGAGAGTTGAGGGGGCAGAGGAAACACTCTCTTAGTAAAAGCTCCCAGGGGTGACTGTGACCACATGTTGCCCATGGCCAGGACCCCTTCCCCAGCTTTCCCTCCACACAGGCCCCTGCTTCACCTTTGATCCTGGTAGGGAACAGGCCACCCCCATGGTGAGTTATTTGTGCCCTTATCAAATGACATAAGTGCCCTTGAACTGGAATGTCTTGCCTACCCCCAATTTCTCTCTGCACCCCCACCCATAGCCACTAGGAAAGAACTTAGATCAGAAACACTGAGTAAATATTAACCCAGGAAAAAGCCTGAGTCAAGACATGGAAGGAGGCATGCAAAAGGCCACATGCTCACAAAGTGGGGATCCCTGAAGTCTATCTGGGCTTCAGAGTAAACCAGTGACAGACAGTGGTGGGGTGTGAAGACCAGGAGACAGGGCCAGGCTGGAGCTTAGGGAGGGACACTGGTCTCACCTGTGCTTGGAGGAGAGGCTCTGAGGCTTAGTGGGCTTCCTGGGGCCTGTAGGGATGGCTCTCCAGCCCCACAGCACACAGTGGGACCTCCATATGCCTCCTGGGCCTGTAGGGATGGATATCCAGCCCCACAGCACACAGTGGGACCTCCGTGTGCCTCCTGGGCCTGCAGAGATGGATATCCAGCCCCACAGCACACAGTGGGACCTCCGTGTGCCTCCTGGGCCTGCAGAGATGGATATCCAGCCCCACAGCACACAGTGGGACCTCCGTGTGCCTCCTGGGCCTGCACAATGGAAGTCTGGTTCCACAGCAGAGTCCTCTACTCCCAGTGTGGAGCCTAATGGGGGCACACCCAGCTGGGAGTCTCTCTGGCCCCCCCAGGGCCTACACGGTCAGATGCCCAGTCCCATAACACAAGGTTGGAGCACAGCACATAGTGGGGCCCCACCCACCTCTGCTGCTCAGGAACCCCTAAGGGCTTGCACAGAGAAACAGTGTCCTGACACACCCTGCAGAAGGGGTGGTGAGGGTGGTTGGCACCCCTCTCCAGGTCTTAGGTGTCAGGGCACAAGAGAGAGCAGGTAAGGGGTCTGCTGTTATGAAGGTGGGAGCAGCTTGAAGGGTGGGACCTGAGGCCAGATGCAGGCAGATGCAGGGGTGGGGTGGGGGCCAAGGTCAGGTGGACGTGACACTGACCGGGTGCCCGGCCAAGGTCAGGTGGACGTAAGGCTGAAGGGGAGCCCGGCGCCAGCCCCTCCTGACGGCCCTCCTTCGTCCCTCCATCCCAGGTGCTGCGACGGTACAGCATCAACCTCTCTGAGGAGGAGTTCTTCCACATCCTGGAGTATTATGACAAGGCACTGTCCTCCAAGATCTCCTACAATGACTTCCTGCGGGCCTTCCTACAGTAGGAGGGCTGGTGGCCGCCCCACACAGACATGGGACGCAGTGCCTGCCCTGAGACCAAGAAAGTCCTGTGACCAGGGGTCTGACCAATCCCCAGCACGTCTGCAGGCCCCTGCTCACCACCTGCCCCTCCGCAGGCGGGTCTCTCCGGCAGAGCCTGCCCGCCATGCCCGGCCCTCCTCAGAAGTCCAAGCAAATAAAACCATGAGTCTTTGCAGGAGTGAGTCTTGACATTTTAAAAGAATTGCCAGGGATAAAAGGAAAAACATCTCGGGATTTCCTGGGCACCTGCTGGGCCTGGAGTCGTCCTGGGAGCTGTCGCTCGTCTGAGTCACTCTCTGTCCTGCATCTGAGTGATTGTGTCCCCCTGCTGTCCCTGTTACACGGTCCAGCCTCGGCTCCTGAGTGCTGGCTTGCTGGTGGACCTCTGCAGCCATGTCTGCAGGACACTCCCTTCCCCACGCGCCCTCCAGGCCAGCCAGGCTTCGTTGTTGCTCGGTACCATGTAATACGTCTACTGCCTGCCGCTACCAATGCTGATTGTGGATTCAAGGATGATGGCATCATTAACAACGCCAGTCCATCCTCCGTCTATCAGAACGTTGCCTGCCGGTCTAGTGGTCAAGACGTTTGTCTTCTTGATGTAGAGATGCAATCTGTATTGAGGCCGTAGTCCTTGATCTTCTCCAGCAAGTGCTCTCCACTATGTTGTTGTTGTTAGATGTCATTGAGTCCAGTACGACTCACAGTGACCCTCTGAACAACAAATCTGAGCCGTGTCTCATCCTGCGCCGTCCTCTCAATCTCTGACACACCGAGCCCATTGCTGCAGTCACTGTCAGCCCATCGCATTGGGGGTTTCCTTTCTGAGCACGATGTCCCCTTCCAAGGAATAGCATCTCCTAGTGACATGTCTAAAGTATGAGAGACAAAGCTTTGTCACCCTTGCCTCCAAGGAGCACTGTGGATGCTCTTTTCCCAAGAGAGACTTGCCTGTACTTTTGTCAGTCTGTGGACTACTCAGTGCTCTCCTCCAGCACCACGCAAGAAGGCACCAGTCCCCTCCTTTCATCCTGATTCGCTGTCCACGTGCCAGCAGTCACCACACTGTCTCCGGGGCTGCCCCTCCCCTGCCATCTTCTCTGTCCTGGATCCATGTGACATTGTGCCTTCCTGCCATCGTGTCAGGTGGCCAGGCCTCTATTCCTGAGAACATGCTTGCAGGACACTCCTTCCCCCCCAACAGTCCTCCAGGCACCGGTCACACCCACACGTGACTTCTGGGAAAGAGCCAGGTTCTGGTAAACTCAGGAGAATGTAGTCTCCTCGCCGTACCCCTCGTGAAGCCCTGGAAGGGCTATTCTGGGCACCCCACCCGCTCCGTCAAACCCGATAGCTTTCCTGACTGTGTTCCACATTCTTTTCAGGACCCCTGTATAAGTGTTTCCAGAAATGTCAGTGGGGAAGCCGAGCAGTGTCTGTTTCTCCTGATCTCACAGTGATCGAGTCTGGGATTTATGCGGCCCATCACCTTCTTGAATTTCTTGTTTCTTTGATCATCTTCACTCTTCTTTGCCCTGGATGAGGCAAGGCCAGTCGTTGTGCCTTAGATGATATTGTTAAGTGTCGTCAAGTGGAAACTGACTCCTAGCTGACCCTCCAGCCCGTTTTCAGAGGACGAACATGCAGCAGTCTGCAGGACACTGCACCGGTACCGGCAGGCAGTAATGTGTGAGCTGTGTACATCACACAGGGAGTGGAAGGAGGGGAGACTGCCCTTCTTTCTCCTTCAGAGTGTCTGGTAGATTCAGACCACCCACCCTTGGCTGGAACAGTACACTGACAGGGAGCTTTCAGAAGTTCAAGCTGGATGTAGAAGAGATCTGGGCATCAAGGATATCATTGCTGGTGTCAGATGGATCTTGGCTAAAAGCAGAGAATAGCAGAGGGATGTCTATATTTCGTTTACACAGAGACATTTGACAGTGTGAATCATAACCAATTATGGCTAACATTGAGAAGAATGATAGTCCCAGAACACTTAAATGTGCGCATGTAGACCAAGACACTGAACAGAGCAAGAGAACGTGGCATGGTTTACAATGAGGAAAGGTGTATTTCAGGTCTCCATCCTTCCTACATATGTATTACATCTGTGTAAATCATTCAAGAGGCTGAATTATTTTTTAGGAGAAATACAGCATCAGGATCAGAAGAAGACTCATCAACAACCTGCATTATGCAGTTAACGCATCCTTGCTTGCAGAAAAGAAAAAGGATTTGAAGCTTTTGCTGCAGAAGATCAAGGATTAGAGCCTTCAATATGAATTGCATCTCAATGTCAAGAACACAAAAATCCTCACCATAGACCAATGGACAACATCAAGGTGGTGGAGGTTGTTATGTGCCGTCGAGTCGTTTACAACTCATAGCGACCCTGTGTACAACAGCCCTAAACCCTGCTTTATCCCTTGCCAGTCTCACTGTCTCTGACACACCTATCCCCATTACCCCAGTGCTGGAATCAGTCCATCTCATCAAGTGTCTTCTCTCTTTCTCTGTCCCTCCACCCTCTGTCCCTCCAAAGCATGATGTCCCTCTCCAAGGACTGGTCCCTCCTTGCGACATGTCCAAAGTATGTCAGATAAAGTTTCAGAATCCTTGCCTCCAAGGAGCAGCCCAGCTTCCTCCTCTCCAGGATGAACTTGTTTGTTCTCCTAGCAGTCCATGGTATATTCAACACTCTTCTCCAGCACCACAGCTCAGAGGCATTAACTCTTCTTCTATCATCCCTAGTCACTGTCCAACTCTCTGAAGCATAGCAAGTAATGGCAAAGACCATGGCCTGTATCAGGTGCACCTTAGTCCCCACAATGACATTGTTGCTCCTCAGTACCTTGCACAGGTCTCTAACAGCAGACTTGCCCAATTTGTCTTTTAATTTTCTGGCTGCTGGTACCAAGAGTGTTGATTGTAGAGTCAAAAAAAGATGGAAGTTGTCAATGGTTTCATCTTACTTGGATCCACAAGCAACACCACTGGTACCAGGAGCCAGGAGAGCAAAAGATATGTTTCAGAGAAAGCGGATGAAAGGTATAAAAGAGAACGAGAAAATGACTAGGACAGCAGAGGACTGTGGGGGGTTGGGCGTGAAGAAACAGGTAAGTTATAAGGGGGCTTGAGACTGGGAGTTAAAAGTAATAGATCAATAATATATAAAACACATTGTACAGAAGTGGTTGTATAAAACAAAACACACATGAACGAAGCAGTGCATATGAATGATGATATAAAAGTGAGTGACGGTATAGATGAATAACAAACATAAAGAACAAGAAATTGAACAGGTCATAAAAACACTCTCAACAACGAGAAGATATGCTGCCTGGGCGAAATCTGCTGTCAGAGACCTCTCCAAGGTGCCAAGGAGCAATGGTGCCATCTGACGGACTAAGGGGAGGCTAATTCAAGCCGCGGTCTTTTCAGGTAACTTTTCAGGACAGTGAATGAGGGTGACAAAGGAATTGACGTCTTTGAGCTGTGGTGTTGGAGAAGAGCACTCACTGGACACACCAGGGACAGCCCGGAGAGCAACCTTAGAGAGACTCCAGCCACAGTGCTCCTCAGAGGCCTCGTGTCCTTGGGGTCTGTTTGAAGATGGGCCGTCCCTTGGGAAAAGGCATGATGCTTGGAAAAGTGGAGGGTCAGTGACAGAGAGGAAGACCCGTAACAAGATGGGCTGACACTGTGACTGTGACACAGGGCTCAGGTGTCTCAGAGATGCTGAGAATGGTACAGGGCACAGCAAGGTCCTGGTCCACTGCCCGCAGGGTCACTATGAGTTGACTAGATAGTACCTCCCCTAACAAAACAACCATTACCTTTGCCTCGCAGCACAACCCATTACCGGCTGAACCACCAGAGTGCCGTAGACCACTGTTCGCTAGCTTTTTTTCCTTTTATTTTTCCTCCCTTTTTAAAATTAATTTTAATGAAAGTTTACAGAGACTTTGGATTTCCCTTCATTCATTGTTGCACTTTTCTCCCTGCCCACCCCTTCCTCCGCAGTTGCTCTTCTCTTTGAAAAGTAAAAGAACAATTCTTTCATTGTTCTACAATCCCTCCCCCCAAGTCCACTCCACTGTGCAGCCTTCGTTCTGGACTCCTGACATGACAGTAATACCTAATCAGGTATCCCTCTTAAACAATTCTCTCCCTCATCTGTTTCAACGCAGTATACATAATTTATCCCATCTTTTAAGACTCCTGTTCCTACTCATCAATGGAGGATAGAAAGCATTTTCACTGGGGACTATATTATACCAATTGATTGTGATGCAAACCCACAGCATTAGTCGGGAGTGTTAATGCTGTCCCTTCAAGTAATTGGTAGGATTAGCAGTCAGGAAAATCAGTAAAGATCTACATGACCAGACCACCACCATCAGCCAACTGGACGCCATCAACATTCATGAGTACATGTCCTTTCACCTCCCACCAGCAGAACACACATTTCCCTCAGCTGTGTTCTCCAAGACGGGCGATTTCAAAGCCATAAAACAAACCTTAACAGAAATCATACGAAATGTGTTCTCAAGAAATAACTGCTGGAAAGATACTTGGAAAACCTCCCCTTACGTGGTGATTGAACTATACATTTCCAAATAACCCTGGGTGAAAAAAGAAAGTTTCAAAAGCAATTTAAATATGTATTTTAAATTAAACGAAGAAAAAAAATACAGTATATTCTCATTTTGGGGTTCCAGTTTAAATAATGTGTTGTTATGTGCTATCTAGTGGCTTTCAACTCATAGCGACCCTGTGCACAACAGCTCTGAACCCTCGCCAATCTGACTGTCTCCGACACACCCCCATTCCCCTGGTTACTGTGTCAATCCCTCTCATCCTGGGTCTTCCTCTCCTGTGCTGTCCCTCCAACCTGTGAAGCATGATGTCCCTCTCCAAGGACTAGTCCCTCCTGGCAACATGCCCAAAATCTGTGGGA